TGAAACTAAGAGTCAGACACTCAACCGACTGAGCCACCCAGGCGCCCCTGTGGCACATTTTAGATTAGAGGTCATCAAGTGTCACGATCCCTGTGGAGATGAGAACTGTTTTTCAGTGCTTATTGGTAACTCAGCATAAACTGCCAATTCGTAGAATTACGAAATTTTCAGAGCTGCAAAGGGACATAGGAAGTAATGGTCCAGTGGCCTCTTTTTGTAGCTCAGAACCTATGGTTTTCCCAGGACCAAAATTAGATCTTTGAACCCCAGGATAGGGATTTTTTTAGTGCTGTCTCCAAAGTCAACTTTAGCTTTTTTGTAATCTGGTACATGTGAGCATTTAATCATTTGACTATAATTACATTTTGTATACATGTGTGAATTTTACTTCCAGCTCATGTCTGAATGTGTGATTAGATCAAAACTCTCTTATTACAAAATTCTGTCTAGTTTTTGGAGCTTTGGTCTCTAATCAATATCAGGTATAATCAAGTCCCTGGTATTAATATCAAAAGGTGAAAGCAAAGATGTTTTAGATAGTTTCTTACTTCTGACCCTTAGCTGTTGAAAGAGACAAATAATGGTGACTTACCTTCAACAATATTAGAAGGTTTCAACTGACCTGGTAAGGGCTGTCGTCATCAAATAAGAGAAAAAACTCAAATATAAAGAAAAGTGTTTCATTTTCTCATCTAAACAGTGATAGAAATTAGACAAATGATTATACTCTTGTTTAACAAACATTCCTTTGATTTTTATGATATGGTTTAGAATTAAGCCACAGAAAGGTTATCTTTAATGTTTCATCTCTGGTTTAGAGACTTGGATTTCCAAGATCCACCTGTATTGCAACTGAAAGGAACAAATGAAGCATCATAGAAATATAGAGTACCAATTATACAATTTTTATTGTTGGGTATGATGCTTTAAGAAAATAAAGTCTTTGTGGTTTTTGTAACAATTCCACAGAACATATTTTAAATTACCTGTTATTTTAGCCAGAGTTGCCATTTTTATTGATGAACTCATTTCAGTCATTTCTCTGCACATTTAAAGATGAATCGGTAAACAAGTATGAAATGACAGAAGTAATGAGAGGTTGGTGTGTGGTATATGCAGCTTACTCTCAAACATTGTGTATTTTCTAAGAAAGGAGAGAATCTGTGTGTATTTCTCAAAAAAAGAGGATATTCTCTTTTGTTCCGATAATACAGTTGTCAAGTGGTATAATCTCTTGACAGTACCGTTCTCTCCCATACCCCTTCACTGTTCGATTGTTACTCTGAGCTCATAGGTCCTTTTTATTCAGTGAGATCTTTTTGGTCCTGAAAGTGTCCGAAAATTTACCAGTGGGAGCCCCTACGGTGGCTCCTAATTCCTGTTCATATGTACCCATTAGTTTTTGAGAAATTGCTTGCTTTTTATGGCACAAAAGATGTTCCAGGCCCACTTGGTACTTTTCCTGCCCTAGACCTGGAGTCAGCTATTTTCCTTAAGAAGCCTTAGTTCCTTTGAGTGGGAGATGGTATTTGCAAACCAAGATCTGAGTACCAGCTGTGCTCATTGATAATGGGGTGGTATTGCTTTAAGGCTTTTTAATGAAAGATGCTTGGAATTTTTTTTTTTAAGCATGAGGTCATGTTCATACCTCCAGTTCAAATACAACACACCCAGATTCTTCGTACCTTCCCCATTTCGTACTTTGATGTTCAGCTATTGCCACATCCCCTTTGTAGAGCTTGTACTATTTTGCACACCGATTCGGCGATGGATGAGTGTGCCTGTGTCCCCACAGGCTTACCAACAGGTAGGGTGTTGTCAGGCTTTTGAATTTTTGCCCTTTTGAAATGTAACAAATCACATCTCTAAATAGGTTTGATTTGAGTTTCTCTTACCGTGTGTGAACTTAAGCATTTTTTTTCATGTTTAAGGACTAATTGGATATCTTTGTGTGTATACAGTTGATCACATGGGGTTGAACTCTGTGGGTCCACTTATATGCAGATTTTTTCGGTAAATACAGTATAGTACTATAAATGTATTTTCTTTTCCTTAGGACTTTCTTTTTCTTTTCTCTAGCTTCCTTTATTATAAGTATGCAGTAGGGGCGCCTGGGTGGCTCAGTCATTAAGCGTCTGCCTTCGGCTCAGGTCATGATCCCAGGGTACTGGGATCGAGTCCCACATCGGGCTCCCTGCTGGGCGGGAAGCCTGCTTCTCCCTCTCCCACTCCGCCTGCTTGTGTTCCCTCTCTCGCTGTGTCTCTCTCTGTCAAATAAATAAAAACTTAAAAAAAAATAAGAATACAGTATATAATACTTCCAACATACAAAATGTATGTTCATCGACTGTTTATGTTTTCAGTAAGGCTTCAGTCAACAGCAGGCTACAAATAGTTAAGTTTTGGGGGAGTCAGAAGTTATACGTGATTTTCAACTGCATGGGGGTCGGTGCCTTTGTTCAAGGGTCAACTATACTATCCTTTCAAGTCTTTAGCCCATTTTTCTACCTTTTTTGGGTCATCTTTTGGTAGATTTAGGAATATTGTGTGTGTGTGTGTGTGTGTGTGTGTGTGTGTGTGTGTGTGCATGTCTGTGTGTAGGAGCTTATCTGCCTAAAACCAAGAACTCTTGAGAAATTTTAAAGAATTTTCTTCAAAAAAATTTAAGGTACTTGTTGCACATATTTTCATCCAGTTCACCATTTGTCTTTTGTCTTGGCTTATATGTGTGCTTACTAATTTTTAAAAATGTGTTTTCTTCACACAAAAGGCTTTTATTTATCCATTTTTCATTGCATCTGGGTTTGTCATAGTCAGAAACCACACCCAGGTTTCAAGTGCATCCACACAAGTTTTCTTGTAGTATTTATGGTTCCTGTGCTTACAGTCAGAGCTCTTACCCATGTGGACTTTTCCTGGTTAAAGGTGTGAGGTGTGGATCCAGTTCAGTCTTTTTCTAAGTAACTAGCTGTTTGGAAAGCCATGTGGGCTCTCTTGTTTTGTTTCAGGACTTTCTGTTCTGTTCAGCCGGTTGGCCCGTCTAGCGGGAGATTCCGTATGAAAGAGCACGGGCTGCTGTCTGCAGCGGCAGTTGGTGCCATTGCCACGGTTGTGTGCTTCTGGGAGCTCGCTAAACACTCTCGCTGTATGTGTAGGACTGGGTGTAGGCTTGCCGCGGGGTTGGTTGTGGGCCCAGAGGAGGGCACTGAACAAAAGGACTGGTCAGCAAACCCAAAACACCTCCACTTGGACAAGTTTTATTTTGTTGTAGTTCCTTCAGAACTAGATTATGAAATAATACCTTAAACTTAAGATTAAGTAAAATAAGCATGAAAAGCACTTAATATTGCACCTAGAACAAACAAAACAACACACATTCAGCATATAATCATTGACTGGTCTTAGTAAACACTGTGTTTCATCACTAATAAGTGAGGAGGCAACAGTGAAGTAGGCTTTTGGCAGCATCTGGAAGTGGACAAATCTAGGATTGGCTGCCCTTGAACTTGGCAGTGGTTAAAGTGAGATGACAAACGTCTGAGAGGCAGTCAGGGTGCTAGCTTGAAGCTGGACCAGCAGACATTGGGAGAGAAGAATGCTGGACCAAGGATGTCTGCAGGATGGAACAAGGATGCTGGTCTTTATCTTCTAGACCCCTCCCCATCCACTTCTTAGGGCTCTGTACCTGCTGCTCTCTTTTCCTGGTTACTGGGGAAAAGGGCAGTATAAACCCATATGTTCATGGAAAGCCCTGGAAAAAACTTCCATACTTCTCAGTATTAGAATACTAATCAGAAGCAGAACTTCTGTGAAGTAGGTACATTCAGCTAGCTAGGGTGTTAAGGCATGCCAGGTAAAATTACTCTTTTCACCACCAGTTCCCAACCAGTAACTGCTGTATTCTCCATTTGCCAACTGCTGCTAATAACTGCTAATTCTTTCCTCAGGGATTTTTGGGACCCAACCTAAGCACCCCCTACCAGTCTTCCCTGACCACCCCGGCTTGCAAGATCTCCTCTCAAGAGTGAGGTCTTGAGATCTACTATGAGAGACAAATCCTGTTAACATTTTGGTATATTTTCCTCCACTCTTTTTTTTCTCCTATGTATATGATTTTACAGAGTTGAGATCATACTCTCTATATAATATTGTATCTTATCTTCAACTTCTAGCTTTATTGTAAGCCATTTGTAAACAGGGTTTTAAAATTTACATAATATTTCCTGGAGTGGATGGAGTATGATTTGCTTATATTTGTGTTTTCATGCCTATTTTTCTTTTTTTTTTTTTTAGAGCAGAAGCAGTCTGCCTTTTTTTTTTTTTTTTTTTAAGATTTTATTTATTTGACAGAGAGGGAACACAAGCAGGGGGAGTGGGAGAGGGAGAAGCAGGTTTCCCGCTGAGCAGGGAGTCCGATGTGGGGCTCGATCCCAGGACTCTGGGATCATGACCTGAGCCGAAGGCAGACACTTAACGGCTGAGCCACCCAGGCGCCCCGTGTGCATATTTTTCTTATTAGTCCAATCAGATCATGAGAATATCAAAGGGAAGTCACTCTACTGTATTATCCCCTCCCCTACTCCATTAGCTATAGAAAATGTTGTATACATAGATGATAAGTCAATATCTTTACTCGCTTCTCTGTTTTCAGTCTAAATATCATGGGAACTTTTTGCTATAGGAGACCCACAAAGTACTATTTGCAGCTTACTCAGAGTTGTTACCTCCACCCAAATCTCTCCACCCAGAAAAAGGGGGCTCTGGGGAAATATTTGCATGTATTTTAGGGGGCCCATAAATCCTCTGAAATTCTACGAGAAGCATCTGGAGTGAGCATTTGTGCATTTTCCTGTGGTTTTCACTAGACTCTCGTAGGAGTCCTTATTTAACAAAAAGCCACTAACACAGAGGCTGAAGCCAATCTGGAGATAGATGTATTTATTAAACTTCTCTGAAATCGAAGATACCATTTTTCACCTTTTATTGTTCTTGGCTTTCAGGAAGGGAAGAAACCATGCAGCCTGCCAAACCATCTTTCCTTGAATACTTTGAACAAAAAGAAAAGGAAAATCAGATCAACAGCTTCGGCCAGAGTGTACCTGGTCCCCTGAGGAACTCCTCAGATTGGAAAGTGCCGCAGGATGGAGACTATGAGTTTGTAAGTAGTGCTGGAAGTAGAGGGTTGTGTCTGCCGGGGAGGGTTATTTGCCATATCACACACCCACTTCTGGCACTTCACCGAAAGTGCCAGAGCATTTTCCTAGGCGGTGCAAGCCCCTGGCCATGCCGGCAACAGCCCGGGGCCTTGTGAGTTTGAGATGACACTTTGACTGACATTTGAGCAGTTCTGGGGCTCCTGATTAGTGGCATCTTCTTTGCTTTAAAAATCCTTTATTCACTTGCCATTTTTCTTTTTGTCAAGCTTGGAATCGTTAATGGTAAAAGAAATACTCATCGAGGGGCGCCTGGGTGGCTCAGTTGTTAAGCGTCTGCCTTCGGCTCAGGTCATGATCCCAGGGTCCTGGGATCGAGCCCTGCATTGGGCTCCCTGCTCCGTGGGAAGCCTGCTTCTCCCTCTCCTGCTCCCCCTGCTTGTGTTCCCTCTCTCACTGTGTCTCTCTCTGTCAAATAAATGAATAAAATCTTAAAAAGAAAAAAAAGAAATACTCATCGAGTGAGGACACAGTGTCTTTCATCATTTATTTGGGATTGTGACTTTCTATTTAAGAGTTAGACCAGAGGGCAGTTCATGCTGGTTTGTAGCATCTTTGCTGTTTTGCTAATCATTATCCTAATTTTAGGCCCTCTGAGAGGATTACTCTGAATTTTGCCTGAGGATGAATATTAAATTGCTCCACAGTTTCTTATGAAAAACTGGCTGTGTTTTTCCTTTCTCTGCAGTGGAACATTCTCCCTCAACCACAGACACTTGTTAATGTTCACGGAGATTTAATGAGTAGAGGCAATAAAAAATTGGGGGAAAAAGTAAGCTGAGGACTCTGCATTCCTTTTCTGAATATTTTTGGAAAAGAATGTTCTCTTTAAGGATTTTTAACTTTTACACTCTTAAATTCTGTCATGGTTCTGTTGTTGTTTATCAAAGAACTCAGATTGGGTGTCATAACTGGATTCTGGGAGGCCTTTCTAGGCCTGGCTTTTCATTCTCCTACTCACTGGCCTTCCAGGTAATGACATCCTTCTTCCATAACCTAATGTCTACTGTTGTCCAGTAGCAGGAAGGCCACAGTTTATACTGCTAGCAAAGGAGATCGCTTGAGGACCAGAATAACTCGCCTGAGGCTGGTTAGCTGATGAGCCACTGAAGCCGCAGTAGAGCCCAGCTTCATTTGCTTTATCACGTGTGCCCTCATTTACTTGTTTAGCATCACCTGTTACGATAAGCTATTCACTCAGTTATTAGTCGACTCATGAGATTTGAATCATTTTCGTTCTTATCTGTTGCCCACGTGGTTGTCTTCGGCATATTTGTAAGGACTGATTTTCTCAGTGTAGTGAGTCTCTAGGCAAAGATGAAATAACTTCTGGATACCAGATATCATCATTGTGACAGAAAGCTTCAGAATCCTCAAATCTGTATTCCTAGGTGTAGTTTCCTTTTTTTTTTTTTTTTTTTAAATGTTATAGTAGTTAGTGATCCTGAAAGTCCAGTCATTCTAATCATTATTTTCGGATCGGTAGTTCCCGTGTTAGAAGACTTCACTTCTCTCTGCCGTAGTTTTCCCAGACTAGCATCACTGGTGGAGAACTTGTTTCAGCGGGCAAGCTGCTTATGCAGAGGGGCTTTAATGGGTCTTTAGAGAGCATGCTTTCCATTCTGGAAGGAGGTGACTGCTGGCGGGAGTGGCCGTGAGCACCATGAGTGGGTGAACACATTGCCCAGCCTGGATGACGCCTGGCCCGTGTGGGAGGAGGGCCTGAGACCACGCCCTCTACACCAGAGCTCACAAACTGGCAGCATCCAGCCCACAGACCTTCTTGTGTGCCCTATACAGGGCTCACAAATCTTTCAGTAGCTGCCTGTATTTAAAACTTGAGAACTTTTAAATGAAATGTTGGCTCGCTGGCTTATTTTGAAAACATAGAAGAGCCAGTCATAATAAACCTACATGGTTGGAGGACAGTTGTGTGGAGCTGAGCGGCAGCTGCCCTCCTTAGGTCCAGGTCTTCTCAGTGTCTGGCCAATTTCATTCATTTGCATTAACCAACCTGTCTGGCACTTAGTGGCATTCAGCACTGGGATTCTTGCTGTAAATCTTCTGGATATGTATATGTCCACATTGGGCTTGAACCAACCCCATCCTGCCATAAAAATTTTATTCTATTTTTACTGTCAAAATTTCAACAGAATTAATTTATAATTTCTCTTTTAAGAGAATTGCAAACTAAACAATGAAAGAAAGTTTAGCTGGGGTGTATATGAGCTCCTATTCCAAAAAATACTGAAGATCAAATGAAAATGACTTTTTTTAAATGTATTTATTTGAGACAGGAAGAGAGAGAGCACACGCGCATGCACAAGCTGGGTGGGGGGAGGGGCAGAGGGAGTGGGAGAAGCAAACTCCCTGTGGGGCTCGATCTCAGGACCCTGGGATCATGACCTGAAGGCAGACACTTGAGCCACCCAGGAGCTCCTGAAAAGGATTTTTAGTGTCATGGTATTCTTGCTAGATAGCTCTTACATGAACCCCAAATCAAGCATTTGAAATAACAGCCTCAGACAGTTTCTTAAAAGTGTCATCCCCAGGCCAGGAGTGTCAGCGTCACCTGGAAACTTGGTAGAAATGCAGACTCTCAGGCCCCACCGCAGACTCACTGCATCAGAGTCTCTGAGGTCAGCACTGAGTAATCTGTGTTCTAACCTACCTTACATGTGATTCTACCTTGCTAAATTCTGGTCTAAATGGTTTTTATTTACTTATTTGTTTATTTTAAAGATTCTATTTATTTATTTGACAGAGAGAGACAGCGAGAGAGGGAACACAAGCAGGGGGAGTGGGAAAGGGAGAAGCAGCCTTCCCGCCCAGCAGGGAGCCCGATGCGGGACTCGGTCCCAGGACCCCGAGATCATGACCTGAGCCGAAGGCAGTTGCTTAACCAACTGAACCATCCAGGCGCTCCTAAGCGGTTTTTAGAGTGTAGTATATTTTTATATAAGTTTCTTCTTTCTTTCCTATTAGGTACTATAGAGATTCAGAGAGAAGGACATATTTGCATTTTATTAGCATTGCATGATTTTTTAGTTTCCTTTTTACTCTCCTTTTGCGTCTCCTGTACTCCAATTGGAGGTATCAAAGAAACACATAAAATAAGGAAAATGTCCTTTTGTAAGTGACATTTGGCAAAGAAAGAGCCGAACTGTTGAGTGAAAAAAGTATTCTGAATAATTTCACTGAGCTTGTAGACGGTTGTGTGTCAGACTAGCTAACTAAAGTCTCCCTCAGCAATCTCTTAGACACTCTCTGATTTTCCAGTAGGCATTTAACAGTATTTAGTTATGAAGTTTAATACATTTAACAGGTTTTAATTATGAAAAAAGATATTCTCTTTCTTCCTGTGAAGGCAGTTGCTATTTTGAAATGAACTTTTTGCCCAAAATGGCAAATAGGAAGTAATTTCATCAGGAGTGGTAGAATTCGATACTGAAAAAAACCTTCATATTTTCCTTTGAAATTGAATACTTTTGCATTTCTGAAATTAAATTACTTTATTTGCCATATTGGAAAAGCAACAAAGGTTTCCTTTAATGTTTAATAGATATTGTGATAAAAGCATAAATAAAAGATGCGGGAAAATGCAATATTTGCTGAAGTTGGTATTTGATAGTCTATAAACAGACTGCACACAGTGAATGTTGCTTCTAGGAGAAGTCAGACCCTCCCACTTTGCCAGTCGTAAAGCCACAAAAGACTGTAACCTTAAATCCAGTTTGGCTCGTGAATCCTCCAGACACACTGTAATCTTTCAGTCTAAGGTGGTGGAATGCCGGGGGGGTGAACGCGACAGATGAGGCCACACTTCCCAGGAGCTCACGGTGGTGAGGGGAACAGACTTTACAGATAGTCTATCTGCTCAGGTAATAATGGCTATTTAAAGAAAAAAAAAAAGCCACAGTAAAGAGATAGTATGAGATAGTATGCCTTGCAGTGTGAGGTACATGAATGAAGAGGGGCAGCACCTACAAAGACCCCAAAGCGGGACGTAGTGGGCATGTGTCAGGAGAGACTGAAGCCCGTCGTGGCTGGAGCAGAGTGACCGAGAGGACAGCAGCCCAAATGTAAATACTTCGGTGATCAGAGTACGTGTGAGCACATTAAAATCTCCTTGAGGGGCTCCTGGGTGGCTTAGTCGGTTTAAGCATCTGCCTTCGGCTCACGTCGTGATCCCAGCATTCTGGGATCGAGCCCCACATTGGGCTCCCTCCTCAGCGGGGAGCCTGCTTTTCTTTCTCCCTCCATGTGCGTGTGCGCGCGCTCTCTCTCTCTCTTAAATAAATAAAATCTTTTTAAAAAATCACCTTGAGATCAAAATAACCATCAAACCATCCAGCTAAATCTTGTTTATAAGAGATATAACTAAAATAAAGTATCACGGAAAAGTTTAAAATGGAAGAATGGAAAAAGACACACTGGGTAAAATCCTCCCTAAAAGGAAGTAGGTGAAACAATATTGATATCAGATAAAATTGAATCCAAGACAAAGGACTATTATATGGGGAAGGATATTTTATATTGCTGGAAGGTGTAATTGGCCGGAAGACCTAAGTCGTGAACTTCTGTAAGCATGTAGACTTCTCCCAAATTACTAGAAATACCACCAACAAAGAGAAAACGGCAGTCATAGATGAAGGCTTAGTGTTCTCCCAAAAATGGTCATTTCAGTTAGATTAAAAAAAACAAACGAGTTCCCACAATTAACAAGATTGATAAAACAGAAAATAGGAACATTTTTCAAGTATCTATGACACTTTTAAAACATATACGGAATATTCACAAAATCTGACTATGTTTTAAAGTGCTCAGAAAGAAATCTCGTACAGAAATCACACGGCCACGTTCACTGACTGTAACAGAAGTAGAAATTAACAATAAAGTAGTTAAAACCACTTTGTTCCACTTGGGAATGTAAGAATATATCTCC